TATAAAAAGATCTTCTACACTTTCCACAGTATGCATCCGATGAAGTGAGCTGTAGCTCACGAAAGCTTATGCTCAAATAAATTGGTTAGTCTCTAAGGTGCCACAAGTACTCCTTTTCTTTTTGCAAATACAGACTAACATGGCTGTTACTCTGAAACCTTTGTTATCTGGAGACCAAAAGTGTTTGCAGACCTGCCTAAAATGGGAAACTTACAAAGCTCAACACTTCCCCTTTTGTTTACTCCTGCCCTTCCCCCTCCCCTGTTCAACTGACACCAAAAGACTGTTATTAAACAAACACGCGCACACCCTAGGCAGATAACATGCACCCACATTCACCCAACACGACTCTAACGCCTCCTAGATCACCCTGGCAGGCCCATGCCTCAGTTTACGATTATTTTACAAGACTGCAGAGCTGCTGGCGGTGGCACCTGCAGCACCCCGACTGTGGCTGGCCAGCAGTCCTGAGATGTTGTAGGCTGTCCTGAGAAACCCTCGGCCCCTAAAAGCCTGAGGCTCAACGTAGCTCATAGTCACCCCCCCCACCCCAACCCGGGAGGCGGGGAGGGGTCGCCCGGTGGGGTGGGGAGGGAGCTCCCTCAGCCAGAGCCGGGGGCGGCAGGAGCAATGTGCGGAGGAGGAGGCGACTGATGATTCAGTCGCGCCCTCTAACTGCCACAGGCTGGGGAAGGGGGGGGGGGGGAGCTCGAGATTTACCATTGAAGCCCAATGACGTCCCGGCTGCTCGCCGAGGCTCTCGGGAGCTGTAGTTCGAACGCCGAAGCCTCCCTCCCAGCCCGGAGAGGAAGTCGTCGAGTTGGGACTACAACTCCCACAATACCCCGGGCCCAGCATCGTCCAGCCTGTGGCGCTGGGAGGCGGCACGATGGCGGCAGGTCTGTAAAGGGAGCTGGCGGGGGGCGCTGGGCCGAGGGGCTGTCGGTGTGTAGGGCATGAGGAAGCCGGGCCGAGGCCGCGCTCGGCTCAGCGGGTGCCTGGATGGGGGTCGCGCGGAGTAACTGCCTGGGTGCGCAGGGCTGGGGGTGAGCTGTTGGGCGGGGGCAGCAGCTGTGGCGGTCCCCTCCTGGGAGGGGCTGCTTTCGCGCCCCCACCCCCCCAGGTGTTGAGGGAGGGGTGAGGTTCTTGGCGGGGGGAGGCTGTTGTGCCCCCCCCCCCCCACTATTCACGGCGGGTGATGGTGAGGTACGCACACCATTGGGACAGGGCAGGCGTTGGGCCCCGTGGCGGGGTGTCCCTCGCTTGTAACAGTCGTGCCGTGGTGAGTCCCTCGCACCCAGTGGTTGTGTCAGGGCGTGAGGCACGTCGGCCCGTGTGCAGGCGCTGGGGTGGGGGAGATGCTGCGGGTGACAAGGGCGAATGCCGCTGTAGTTTGTTCTGCCCTCCCCGCAGCTGCACTGTTGAGTGCATGAGGGGAATGTTGCCAGGCTTGCTGCCCAGTCGCTTCAAAACTGATGTGATGTCCCACCTGCCAAGCCTCCTCTGTCAAGAGGGAGACGGTCTCCTTCGTACGTTCATCTAAAGACAGTTTTTAAAAGCATCGACTTCTCATGAAAACAGGACTTTTGCTTTGTGTGCTTTAGAACCATTGGAAAACTCCCTGGCCGGAATTGTCACGGCTTGACGTGTGTAGTCTGGGGAACCCTGTCGCCCCCCGGGGTTGTAATATGAGTGCCCGAGTGGGAACTCGCCCGTCCCTGTCTTGCCCCGTTGTTGTAACAGTTTGCAATTCAGAAGCTTTAACAGGGTTTAGGCTTAAGAATATGTTGTACCCTGAACAAGAGCAGACACAAACTAGGACCCTCTGAATGAAGGGTTTTCAAAAAATGAGAAAGGTTTTAAGTGTTTAACTTTCAGTGAAACACAGTAAAATTCACCACATCGAGATAGAGAGACTTTAAACGCAGCCTTAAAATAAATGCCAAATGCGTAATTTTTTTCTCTTCCCACTTTTGGGGACCCTATTTAAAAATCTCAGGGCTCCATCACTTTATATATGTTACTTGATTCACTGTTTATATGCTGTATCTTTTGGCATGTTTGGAATGTTATTCATTTACTTGATTGCAATGGATACTAAATTTAAAGGTGTCATTGTTTGTTTTGCTTTATATAATGTGTATTCCTCAGCAAGTAGTTGTTTAAGTGGGTTCTAGTGTATTAGGAACAATACACAAGGATTCAGTTTTATAAATATGTTGAGTGGATTGTAAGCAATTTTATGTATTATTTGTAGGTACATTTAACAGCTTTTTTTTTTATCCTTTTTCACGTGTAACTTTCAATACCTGGAAATACCTTTTTTTTTTTTTTTTTTTAAAGTTGACAACCAAACCGATATTACTTTGCCAGTTGTACTGCTGCTTGCATAACAGATTAAATTGAAATTCATTTTTCCAGATGGCCACTGCTGCAGATTTAAATAGTGAACAAAATTTTATCATACACTGGATGTCCAATACTTCCTGTTCCAGAGACATACTAAATCTTAGTTTCCATGTTTGGAAAACAAATAGAGAGATAACAGTCATCTGGAACTGTAAACATTATAAGTCACCCAGTTAAAATGCTGCATGTTTCAAACTGCATTTCTATAAGTGAAGACTCCATGCATGAAGAACAAATCTTGGAGTCTCGCAGCCCAGGTGGACTTCAGTTAAATACAACTGAAACAACTTTTCCAGTTGCAGCATTTCATTTGGTCAAGAAAAAACCCATCTTAACACTTAAAGATGCTCCAGCTCTGTGGAAAGCCCCTAAAACTGACACTGTATGTGATGAGGTGGATGATCAGAATGAAGCAGATTACAGTGATCCACTTCTACAAAAGCTTGAACAGGTAAAAAAACATTTTTTCCCTTGACATGCATTCATTAGGATTTCTTGTTATAGTCTATAATTACATCTTCTGTTAACTGCAAGGTGACTGCAGCTACCTAAACATGGCAAGAGGTATTGCTTTTGCTTTCAGAACAATGCTAGTTTAAAGAGTGAATTCCAAATCACAGTAAATCATTAATCTAGCTCTCTCTTCTTCATAATACTTAATATTAAGGGCCGAACCCTGGTCCCATTCTGAAAGTGAGTTGCTTTAAGTTAGAGTATTTATTTGTTCATCTATTTTAGAATGTTCCATCATCTGTTCCACTGAAGTTGAGAGAAAACAATGCAGTTTTTAAAACCTGTAGTACTAAAATGTTATGTTAAAGTGTAGTTGGAAATCTGAAAGCTAAAGAGACACAGTGAGGAATTTCAGTTTTGTTATCCATTTCTTCTATAGCAAAATATTCTGTTAGTCCTTAGAAAATTTATATGCCAATATATTTGGCTTTAAAATCTCTCTCCATTTGAGTAGTTTTGCATCTGGGGAGGAAATGACATACTCTGCCTCTGTGTGGGCATAGGGCTGCACTCATTTGGATGACATGGTCCCTGATCCTGCCATAAGATTGAACTGGACAGCTGAGTACATCACTACATGTGATCACATACTGGGTGCACAGATTTATGTTTGGACATACACTAACAGCTTATTTTTTAAGTTAAATTTAGATGAGGGAAAAGATTATAAAACCAGGCGTGGGTAATCAAGATAAAATTTGTAAACAGAAGATGAATCTTTTGAGTCTTGAGTAGACTTCATGTTTTCGAAGTGCTGTTAAATTTTTTTTTTTTGGGGGTACAATACTTGCAATACTTCTGCACTAAAGATGAATGAGGAATAAAGGAATATGCAGCTTCTGGAAGCTACTTGAATTGCCATTTGATTATAATTCTTGTTTAATTTGGGTTAGGTAGATAAAGTATTGGAGTCAGATTATTATGAAAGCAAAGCCCTCTTTGATAACATTGAAAATAAAATGAGACGCTCCAGATCAAAATGTCACAACTCACCCTAAAAACTGTGTTTTTTCAAAAGTATTTTACATATGAATAAGTAAATGAATACATCACTAATACGGAATAATGATGAGGTACAAAGACTATACGTTATTTTATGTTGATATTTAAAGAGGAATTGTTGATGGTTTAAAGAGCACCTTGTGCCTCTTTACAAGCATTGATGTTCTATTTAGAAATCATTTTCTAAATGGTGTGTGTGTGTGAGTTGTGATATGTTTTGGAGGTGGTTACTTTCCTGTTTGTTTAACGAAGACACCAGCATGAGGATAGAACATTTTTGGAGGAAGTACAATTTAGTGGTAAGAATACAAGAGTTCGAGTCAGGACCTGGAATCTGTTCTCAACTTGTCACCTCTGTTCATGTTTGAGTAGTATTTTACTTTTGCAAGTAATCTCTTTGTTTTCTATGAGATTTCCTGTGGAATAAGGCACTATTATGTAAGGGTGGCAGTTAGTGGCCCATGGTTGTCACTTAATACCTCTGTACTTTAATCAGTATAAAACTTCCCTACCTCACTGGCGCATTATGACTCTAAATGGTCTTTAGTGCTTCTTGTTTTTCATTTGCTCTGTCAGATCAAAGCCTTTTCCTCTGTCACTAACTGAGATGTCACATGTTATATTATGACTTCAAATAAGAAATGAGCAACAGGATGAATTCCTATGATAAGGATTTCATTTTCATTAGATATTTCAAGTATTAATAAAAAGGTACTAGTACAAACATAAGTATAAGCCGAATCTTGATATTTTTCAAAAGAATTTTACAAAAGAAGTCTTCTAGGTGGGGTTTTCTATATAATTTACAAGTTGGTCAGTTTAAAGGCTAGTGGAACTATTAAAGAATTGGGCACTGATGGAAATACCTTCAGTATAATTTGTTTTAAAATGTACCATTAGTGAGTGAAGGTCTTAGTTTTAACATAGCTTGTTTACATCCTGTTCAAATGCCACTTGTTATAATAAAGCATCTTCAGGCAAGAAATAGAAAAAGCATTTCATGCTAGTTAATCTCATATAGATTCTAAGAAAACTATTGACTTCAAACACACTTAATTTTTATGCTTGATAAAGCTAAAAGAAATACAACAGCAGAAACAAGAACAGCTGAAGAAGCAACAGATGGAACAACTTCAAAGGCTTATGGAAGAGCAGAAGAAACTACTTATCATGGTATCTGGCCATCAAGGACTTTCTGGTAAGTGGAGAAGTAAAGTATACAGTATACCTTAAGGAAATTGAACACTTTAATTTTAATATTCTACTTAAAATGTTGAGTACTGTTTTCACACACTATCACAAAACTACTGGATTAGTCCCAGGTAAACACTGCATTATTTAAAATAACATTTTAAAAACTGGTTTCAGAGTAGCAGCCGTGTTAGTCTGTATCTGCAAAAAGAACAGGAGTACTTGTAGCACCTTAGAGACTAACAAATCTATTAGCGCATAAGCTTTTGTGAGCTACAGCTCACTTCATCGGATGCATAGAATGGAACATATAGTAAGATATATATATATACACACACATACAGATCAATTGGAAGTTTGTTTTTTTTTTTCTTCTGCTGATAATAGCTCACCTTAACTAATTAGCCTCTCAGAGTTTGTATGGTAACTTCCAACTTATCTGTGTGTGTGTATATATATATATATCTTACTATATGTTCCATTCTATGCATCCGATGAAGTGAGCTGTAGCTCACGAAATCTTATGCTCTAATAAATTTGTTAGTCTCTAAGGTGTCACAAGTACTCCTGTTCATTTTAAAAACTACTACTCAACATTCATATTACAGTAGCATCCAAACACCTCAACCAGGACTGGGTTCTTGTTGTGTTTGGTGCCGTACAAACACGTAGCATGGTAGGGCCCTTGCTTTGGAGAACTTAGTCTAAATAGAAAAGAAAGAAAAATAGTGAAAGCTCGACAACATAAAAACAAAATTAAAAAATGTGAATCTTAAACTTCCCCCCCAAAACATTTCCCTTTCTCTTCTCTCTGTTCAGTTGTCTCAGAAAACCTGCTTCATCACTGTTGACCCTAAGTCCCTTTTTTCACTCTTCCCCACCCCACAGAAATACCCTTAGGCTTCATCTGGAGGGGAAGGAAAAAAAACCCTTGGCTACAGACTGGCCAGATGTGTGTAAAAGTACCTGGACCCCTATCCCTAGGAACATGTGACCAATCCAATTCTGGAACTGCTGTCTCCTCCTCGCAGAGACAACAATATTGTAATGGAAATACAAAGCATAATGCATTTTTTCCGCTCCCCCTTTGAGACTATGCTCGAAAGTCAGAAGATCTGAGTCAATGATGTCGACATCCAGCTAGTTTAAACACTGTGCCTTACTTGCCACCACCTGTGTACCAGAATCTCAGTGGAGATAGTGCTCTATCCTGGATGATTTTTCTTTTGTTTCTTCACATACACAAGAGTGAATTACTACAAAAGTTAAACGACAAGGAATTCATCTGATCTTTGAAGAGCAGTTTATCTTCAGATTCTATCAGTGAGAAACAGTGTCTAGATCAGCAGTTCTCAAACTGTGGGTCATGAGCCCGTTTTAATGGGGTTGCCAGGACTGGCTTAGACTTGCTCGTGCCAGGGACTGAACCCAAAACCCCAGTGTCTGGGGTTGAAGCCTGAGAGCTTCAGCCTTGGGCAGTGAGGCTGAGATTACAGGCTCCCTGCCTGGGAAGGGCTTTAGCTTTGCCTCCCCTCCCCACCCCCTGGGTGGCAGGGATTGTACAGGCTCAGGCTTCGGTCCCATCTCCTGGGATCATGTAGTAATTTTTTTTTGTCAGAAGGGGGTAGTGGTGCAATGAAGTTTGAGAACCCCTCGTCTAGATGCATCTCTGAAAATGTAAAGCGATTGGAAGAACAAGGACCACAAAAATACTACTGGTTAGTTAAATTTATTGAAAGACCCAATTTTCTAGATAAGCTGGAGTCTTTTCATAGTTACTGATCTTAGTATCTTCCTAGGCTACTGTAAACATTTAGTTTTCTTTTAACTATTTGTTCACTTGATGGTAATTGAATCCTAGTTGCCTGTCAATAGACTATATATTTGTCAGCCAATGGGCCTAATTCTACCCTTATTGAAGTCCAATGGGAGTTTTGCCATTCACTTCAATGGCAGCAAGATCAGGTCCTTTATATCGTGTGGCCTCGTGCTTTTTAACATTTTTGTCAATGAGTTGAAAGACAACATGAAATTATTACAGATAAAGTTTGCAGATGACACAAAATTGGGGGAAATGGTAAATAATGTAGAGGACAGGTCCCTGATACACAATGCTTAGATCACTTGACAAGTTTTGTGCAAGCATCAGTATGCATTTCAGTACCATCAAATATAAAGTCATACATCTGGGAACACAGTATGCAGGTTGTACTTACAGGATGGGGGACTCTATCCTGGAAATAATTGACTCTACTATTGGAGTATTGCGATCACAGTGGATAATGAACTGAACATGAGCCTCTAGCGCGATGCAGAGGAAGTTAGACTTGATCATAGTCTAGAAGTGGAGAATAAAAATTTGATAATAGATGATTTTTCAACCTGGTAGACAAAGATATAACAGAATCCAATGACTAGAAGTTGAAGCTAGACATATTCAGAATGGAAATAAGGTGCACATTTTTAAATGACCCTAAGTATCCATTGGAACAACTATCAAGAGTTGAGGTGGATTCTCCAACACTGGAAATTTTTAATTCAAGATTGGATGTTCTAAAAGATAAACTCTAGTTCAAAAAGGAATTAATTGAGGGAAGTCTCATGGCTTTGTGTTACCCAGGTCAGACTAAATAACAATAGTCCCTTTTGACTTCGTAATCTGTGAATCGCCTCTGAGTGTTGTTCCTGGTTTTTAAATACAAGCTGAAAACTTGTAGAAAAAAAGACAAATATCCATGATTTCATAGGAGAAAGCACTTGGTGTCCAAAACAAAAGATGGAAAACTCTGTTGGAGGTGAAGAGAGTGACGCTGATCATTTATGTTCAAGAAATGTAGATTTGTCTGGAAGTCCCAATGGAAGAAAATGCTTACAAGCAGCTAACATAGAGGAAAGGTAAATATAAGCTTATATATAATAGTTTTATCCAATCTTTTTTGACCAAGTTCTAAGACCTGATTGATTGAAAGTGGTTTAAAATTTAATATTTGTATTTGAGTAGTATCTAGAAGCTCCAACTAAGTCGGCCCCCATTCTGATAGGCATTATACAGAGATATGGCAAAAGAAGTCCCTGCCCCTAAATTCTTATGGTGTGGCATAACAGGTCGATGAAATAAATGAGTCTAGGGATAAGGTAATGGTAAACCAAAATCACGTTTTGGCATAGCTTTACTGTGCACAACTATAGTTGTAATAAGCCAATCCAGTAGCAGTAATCACAACTTTCTCTGGCATAGCCATTATCAGATGCCTTTTTCTGTAAGCATCATGGCAGAGGTGAGTCTGAAGGAGAGATGTGGAAGAGGATAAGGTGATGACTTTATACATTTTGAGAAGGAGTCATTCTCTTGTGTGTGGGTGGAGGGGAGAAAGAATGAAGGTGTTTGGGGGGTAAAATGGACTAATGGGTGGTAAAGACTGGCATTACTGATGAAGCAAAACCAAAATGAACATGGGATTAAATAGAACAGGGCTAAATTGTGCATGTCTTTGAAAGCATGGACAGGAAGTCTGTGTTTGATGCAGTGAAAGAGGAGGGGTGATGTATTCAGAGTGACAGGCTAGGAAGATGACCTTAACAGTAGCATTTTGAATGCACTCAGTGCAAAATTGGAGAAGTCAAGACACAAGGGGTATGTCTACACTGCAATAAAACACCTGCAGTTGGCCCATGTCAGTTGACTGTGGCTTGTAGGGCTATAAAATTGCAGTGTAGATGTCTGGGCTCAGGTTGTCACCCGGGTCTGGGACCACTCTCTGCTCTTGGACATCTACACTGCAATTTTATAGCCCTGTGGCCTGAGGTCCATGAGTCTGAGTCAGCTGACATGGGCCAGCCATGGGTGTTTAGGGCAGTGTAGGCATTTGGAACGTGACCAGAGCCTGGATAAGAGATTGACATAGAGGAAAGGATCAGGTCTTTGACATCCATTGTAAGAAGAAGCAGCAAGATTTAGACGTGCTGTGACCGGGGCCCTAGTGGGGAGCCAGCTGAGGTCACTCAATTAGGGTGAATGGCAAAGAATGGGGCAGACAATACCCATAAAGCTGGTGGATATTCCAATACCTAGATTTACCAAGACAGCATAAAACAGTTTCTTTATTACCTCACTGGTTAGAAGTCCAAACAACACAGTTCCCTTAAAAGTGATCCAGCCTCAGGCCTTATTCCAGGTACCCACATCAAATATGATGAAAATTTCTGTAAATCTTATTTCATCATATAAAAGAAAAGGTTCTACCAATCCCAAAGGATCAGACACATTACCTCCCAGGTTAATAAACGTTTCAGATCTTACCCAAATACATGCTATAGCCAATTCTTATTAACTAAACTAAAATTTATTAAAAAACAAGAGTATTGTTAAAATATCCATCCATCCATTCATCCACAGACATGAGTTCAATTCATTGAGGTTCAGATTCACAGCAGAGATGGTGTAGTTGGAAAGAGTTCCTTTAGAATTCAGTTCATAGGTCACAGTCCAATGTCCAAATCTCATATTCAGAGCGTACCAGCATAACTGGGACCTCAGTCTTGTGACTCAAACGTCCCCTGATGAAGTCTAAGCAGATCTAAGATGACAGAATCAGGACCCAAGGATCTTTTATACAGTTTCATGTCTTTTGACAAGTTGGAATTCCTCAGGGAACAAAAGGTAATTAGGATGACTTTGAAGGAGGTCCATCACTGATACTTAGCTATACGAATTAACATAAGTCATTTGCTTGTTCCTCCACCATTCACAGTACATTTCAAAGAGAGATGAATAGTGAGATAGCCCATGTTTACAATTCATTTACATGATAGGATGTTCTTTTGACTGCTGAATTATCAGAATACTGCAGAGACAGGGACTGTTGATTACATTGTCCACCCTACTCATACATATATAAATACACAAAACCACAAATATTATCTCCCCACATTTCTTCTGTGGATTATTTATTTTGCAGGATATTTAACCCTTTCTAGTCATGCGTCACATGTGCCTTTCATGATTACTTAAAACAAATGTGATAAAATACAGTAGAAGCTCAAAGATACGAACACCAGAGTTACGGGCTGATCGGTCAATCTAACATCATGTGAAACCAGAAGTAACTAATTAGGCAGCAGCAGAGACCCAAAAAAAAGAAGCAAATACTGTACTGTGCCTGTATTGCTTCTTAAAGGTAGAGACATCTGGGCTTCCTGTCCCCACCCCTACCCCCACATACAGGGCACCCATCTACTGCTAGGAAGTGAAGATGCTGAGATTCGCAGGCAAAGCTATGAGCCTCCATTGCAAACCCAAGGCAGCTGGAGCACAAGCAGCACTGGGGTCTGCGCTGCTTTCCTATAAGCTGTGGGTGCTGTGTTCACCCCCTCCTGTGGCCGGGGGGGGGCGGGGGGGGGCTCTTTTCACCACTTTACCCTGTCTCGGCAGGTGGATGTGCTGTTTTTGTCACCACCACCTCCCCTCCCAATCCCAGTCAGGATGGGGACAAGCTTGCCCGGTAAAGAAACTGCCTGCAAGGAAGCTGCCTCTGGAAACTGGCCCGGAGTGTGAACTGCTGGAGCCAGAGCTGCATTTTATTCAGAGTTAAGAACCTCCATTCCCGAGGTGTCCGTAACTCTACAGTTCTACAGTAGAACTCTACAGGTTCTACTGTAATATTATTGTGCTTGTCTTTGAGAGTCACTGGTAATCTAGCATATTCTTCAAATTAAATAGCCTTAGCTTTGCCATTGGATACCTAAATGACTAAAGAACTTCTTAATTCCTTACCTGCTTATATAATTTTCATATGTTGTATGATAAATTATATTTTTAATTGCATTGTCAAACAAAGATTTAACTTTAACATTGCAGTTTGTAATTTAAAAAAAATTATACTAGGCCTATTAAAGCTGGGATTCAGGAGAGGAAACAGACGTTTGAAGAATTTCTTGAAGAACAGATACGATTAGAAGACCGGCGCCTGAAGCAAAAAGAGGAGCAAGAGGTTAATTATTATAAATACTACAGTTATTTATATACCTTCCCAAAACGTACTAGAAACTTTACAAACATGTGAGAAGACAGATCCCTGCCCTGAAGAGCTTACAACTTTATATATGCAATATTCAAGTTCTTAAAAACAATTATTCTATTTTTAAGATTCTGACCTTCCTTAAAACTATAGAGGGACAGGTACTGTGTAACTTTACATATTAGTAAGCCTTACTTAGATAAGTCTGTAAATATACTTATCCATACTACAATGGAAGTTTTAATGTTGTCCTTTGATTTTTTTTATTTTATTTTATTTAAAGGAAGTAGGAAGGTCAACCTTTCAGAAACTACAGACAAAACGACCCTTTCTGAAACGGGGAGAAGGCTTAACTAGGTTCACTAATGCCAAATCTAAAGTAACTAAGTATAAAGAAAGCAAACTGATGACTCAGCAAACTACTTTGGAGGACAGAAACGTTGTTAAAGTGGACAGACCACAAATACAGCGGAAAACTGCACCTTTAAGCAAGGAACAGGTTTCTGAGAATTTTGCTGTGCAGTCTAAAAAATGTAACCGAGCTGCTAAAATAATAAATGATTCTGTCTTCCCTGTTCAGAAGGCCATAGTACTCAAGAATCATAATGGAAAAAATATATCGCCACCAACAGCGAGACTGCAGACTGAGAAGAATCTTGATGGGCAGTTCAAAGATTCTTTCAGATCAGAAATCAACAGCAAATTTGAAAATAAGGAAAACATAATGGATTTTGCCAGGCCTACTGACAAATTTTCAGATACAGAAAAGCCTCAGCTGTCCACAGAGTTTACCAAAACTTTTTCTCTTTCCAAATGTTCTACAAGTTACCCTGTAAAAGATTCAGAACATTCTTTTGAACTTTCATTCCAAAATAAGTTGGAAAACTGGGAAAAAGAAAAGGAAAAAGAGAACATAGAATTAGATGAATTTTTGTTTCTAGAACAGGCTGCTGATGAAGTATCTTTCTCGAGTAATTCCTCATTTGTACAAAGGTTCTTGGATCGAGATCAGCAAATTTCAAAAGGCCGTAGAATGTCTTCTACCCCTGTCAAAGCAATGCCACAGCAGATGAATGCACTAGATATTATAAATACAAATAAAAAAGCAGAAATTATCTTACAAGGAAATAAAAATGACAGGGCAGTTACACATACAATCTTGGATTTGAGGGCATCTATTAGACTAAGGGACCAATTCAATAAAACAGATAGTAAAATATTTCAGACTTCTTCCACTGTGGCATCTCCAACTTCCAAAAGTACTGAATGGAATGTAAATGAAGATAAGGATGATGGAAGCAGTGTCATTACTACAGAGTCTGAGGAGGAACTTGAGACTACCGTAAAATGTTCAAATGAAGATGCTAAAAAGTTCATTTTGAGCATCAGAGAAGATAATCCAGCATTCTGTGATTGCACAGGACCTGTCAAAGACCTCAGCAAAGAAAGCAAAAGTAGGGATGTTGATCTTGACTTATCAGACAAAGATTATAGTAGTGATGAATCCAATGTGCTACCAAATCAGAGTAATAGCAAAGTGTCTGAATCTCAAAGAAGTGTTTCATGTACAAATAGGAATAAGGTTGAGTTTGATGATGAAAGAACATGGACTGACCTTGAAGAAAATGAGATTCAGCATGAAGTACCCCAAAATGATACCATTAAAGTACCTCCACAAACTGACTATTACAATAAAAGTGAAATGGCTGCCCCAGATAAAACAATAAAGAGGAAGGTCGCTTCAATAAAGAAGGGAGATGATTTGCCCAAACGGAGTGTGACAGATGGTGATGCAAGTGCACCTCCCACATCAGACCTCATGATGAAACTCTTTCCTTCACTGAAACCTAAACAGAAGCCAGGCTGTCATGCAAGGCATGAAACCAAATCAAATGTGGGACAAGAAGAACCAGGAGGTAAGAGAATAATATATACACACAAACTTCACTGTAGATTGAGCACTAGGTGTTCTTAAAACATGCAATCAAAATAATGGAGAAGAATGAAAAAATTACTGGTGTTGACTTGCAGTTTGTTAATTATCAGTCATGTGAATTTAGTGGGTGCTGTCATAAACTGTTGCTGATTATTGCAACCGTTCAGCACAGAGCAATAGCTAGAGCATGCAAATCTGTGGATATCCGCAACTCGTTTTTATGGCTTGGATGCGGATACAAATTTTGTATCCATGCAGGGCTCTTGCAATTGCATTAGAAAAAATGTTTAAGTGGCCAGTGACATGATTTCAAAAAATTTTAACTAGATGCTCAGATCACTTTATTTATAGATTTTTATTAATTGAAATTACTGAAAGGGATTCGTACCAAATATCAATTTTTAGAGTCTGATTCTTCACTCATTTATACTAGTGCAAATTATGAATAATGTCAGTGAAATCTAAAACTATAGTTGTCAAAATAGTGTAAGTAAGGGGAGAATCAGGCCCTTAGATTCTAGAGTGGGCTGAAATTTGAGATTTCTGGTTTGCAAGAAATTTTGCTACTTTGAAATTTTGGTTTTGTTCCAAATCAGAATAGAACCAAATTTATCAAAATTTCTTGTGAACTGGAAACCCTGAATGTTTGGGGGAACACCAACACTTGGTATTTCTGAAACAAAATATGCTCCCTGGGTCTGGAAGCTGCTGACTGAAATTTGACACTCTTTTCATTTTCACGACTGCTAATAACCTCAGTAGTCAGTCAGTTCTGGGACTTCCAGGGTCTGCATCTCCCAGGGCTGGCCACTTGGGAATCAGGCTGCACAGAGTCTGCTGGTCTGAGAGTCTGGAATCGTTGGGGTCTCTGGCCCAGGGATGTCCATCCAGATGATGGGGTTGTCCTGGAGCCATGGATCCTGGAAGCCCTAAGCCCAGGGTTTCCAGGCTCCCAGTTCTTTGAGCTTCCTGGCTCCACAACAGGGAGGCTTGAAGCCCTGGTGTGACAGGGCTGCTCTTAAGCTGTGGACCGTGGGAACTGGGTTCCATCAGAACCCTACCAGTGACTTGACAAAAGTTTGTTGAATCTGACCTGGTTTCACGAGACATTTTGGGTTCAACAAACTTGTGTTGTCTGACAAAACTCCGATTTGTAAAAAAAATTTTCAACCAGCTCTACCTAATTCATAATTAAGGCTACGTTTTAGTCTTGGGTATTTTTAGTAAAAGTCACAGACAGGTCAGGTAAACAAAAATTCACGGCCTGTGACCTGACCGTGACTTTTCCTAAAAATACGTGTGACTAACACTTGGTGGGGGCTGCCCAGGGGGGGCCGCAGGTGCTGGGGAAGGATGGCCTGGGTGTTGGAGGGGGACAGGTGGCAGTGCATGGCTCGGGACCCTCCTTTGGCAGGGGGACCCCTGCTGGTGCTGGGGAGGGGGGCGGGCAGTGGCATGCATTCCAGGACCCCTGCTCTCCTCCTCTCCCCCTCCCTCAGTAGCAGCAGCAGAATTTGGGTGATGGGAGTGGGCACGGAGTGGGATGAGGCAGGCCCTGGGCGGCGCTTACCTGGGGGTTCCCTGGAAGTGGCAAAATCCTCCTTGCTCAGCTGCTAGGTCGAGGCGTGGCCAGGCAGCTGTGTGCGCTGCCTTCACCTGCAGGCACTGCCCCCGCAACCCCCATTGGCCGCTTCCTAACAATCTTCAGAGCACAATTCTTCTTCCTACTAGAGAGTCAATCTTTGGGATTGTAGCTACATTTCCTTTGTTAGTTTTTCATCATCCTTTACAGCAACCTAATTTTAATAATTGTTAGATTTGCTGGTCACTAGGATTTTTTTTTAAGTACACAAGCTGATTGTTCTAATGCAAAATATGTGAGGGAATATTGTCAGTTTTGTTTTTGTTTTTTTTGCAGACCTGGACTTTGTTAATGGTTTAGTGGTTATAAAATGCACTGCAGCCTCTGTGTTAAGAGTTCAGATCCTGGGATGTTCGGTTTCCTAGGCTATTGGGGCTGGGAGGATGGACTCAGCTGGGAGGATGGACTACATCTGTGTATGTAGATGATTTAGAAACAACTGTGTTACGTTGTCAAATGTAACGCTTAATGCTTGGCTGAAAAGTCTTAGAAGTGAGAGACTTTTCCCCCCCATTGTTGTCAATCTGTATCCACATCTGCCTTCTCTTAACTATTGAAATAAATTCAGCAATTCTAATAAACCCTTACTGGAAAAATACTTAGCAAAATTGATCAAGATAGATACTAAAATACAAAAAGCACATTGCTGATCATTTAATATCTGGCAAAATAATTTTATACCATAAACAGGGTATGGATTCAACTTTGTCTTGTTATCCAGAATATACTTGCTTGATTTTTTTTAATTAAAGCCTCTAGTGTTATGGTTGAGAAGAAAATTTAAAAAAATGTCAGTGTGTAATCAATGCAGAGAGAACTGCCGCATTAATTTCAGGAATGGGTTTATTCAGATGCGCACTGACAAAGATTTAAACATCAATATTAACTGTTTCATTCCTCATGTAAGAAAGGAGATGGAGGATCATAGATCTCCACAAGAAACTTTGAGCACCATTTCACTTCGGTGCCCTAAGTAGAAAGTGGTTGGGAGATACCTTTCTTTTTTTAAACTTCCAATCAAGAAGAGCCTAACAGAGCCCATGGGTGTTTTCGACCTTTACATCTACAAAGCTCACAGCAGCAAGACTCGCAGCCTGGATCAACAGACTTAAGCTTGCAGGGCTTATACCATTTCTGAAGCCTACCCCCTTCTCCCTTGGCTTCAGAGCCTGAGCTGCTACTTCGAAGAGCTGTCTACACTGATATTTTTTAGAGTACTGGTATGAGCCCTGCAAGCTCAAGTCTGTTGATCCAGGCTGCGAGTCTTGCTGCTGTGAGCTTTGTAGATGTAAAGGTCGAAAACACCCATGGGCTCTGTTAGGCTCTTCTTGATTGGAAGCTTAAAAAAAGAAAAGAAAAGGGGGAGAAAAAAAAGAGATCTAGATCATGCCCAAGTCTGTCAATCCGGGCTGGGGGCTTTCTGCTCTTTGCTGGGTAGATATACCTACTGAGGTTGAGCCAGGCTCACCGAAACGAGAGTATGAACAATCATACTTTGAACATCTGCATAATAAACTTCGAAGTTGGTCTTATTTTGCTGACCTGCATGGGCAGAGTTTATTTTGTGGGCACAGCTTTGAAGAGCCTGACCACCTCCCCGCCGCCTCCTGTATGAACCCTGATCATAACTTCAATGATAATTACTCTATTTTGAAGACTAATTCAGATTTAAATTTGTAGTCCTTGCATACCCTGTTGTGCCTGTGCAACAAATACATTCAAAACCTGAGATGGTTGAATAAGAAGCACAGATTGCTTTGACAAGGACTGACTTATTTATCACCTACTGTATTATTTGGAAACTAGTTATTTGTGCCTCAGAGTAAGATCAACTGATGAAATCACTTATATCTGACAATTTAGTGTATACTTCAACACTCTGTATGAATGTCTCTTAACTTGGGTATGCCTGTTCCTTGATAGGAGACATTGTTCGGTCCCGGGTACTAAGAGAGAAGCTTGTTGAATTGGAAACAGAAATTGAAAGATTCAGAGCTGAAAATGCATCTCTAACAAAACTCCGTGAAGAACGAGAGAGCTCCTTAGAAAATCTCAGGTAATTTTTCATTGGGAGTATTTCAGTTTATTTTATTTGCTTAGTAAATACATTTCCTTAACTGTTTAGTTAGAGCTATTTTATAGATAGGCAAATGAGCAAATCTGCAGGTAAGCACACTACTATTGGATAGTAGTAAATATTACAGAGATCTATTTCAGGGGTGGCCAAACTTACTGGTCCTCTGATGATCTTCAGAAGTCTGAGTGCTGGGTGCACCTGCTTCCACCCTGCGGCAGGGTGGTGAGGTTCTGGGCTTCAGCCCCACGGGTGGTGCCTGCCAGTGCTTGGGGCGTCAGGAAGAGTGGGGCCTGAGCCCTGGCAGGTGCCTCCTGCTGGGCTGAAGCCCCTAGACTCCCTTCCCACTGGGCAGAGGCCCTGAGCTCCACCAGCCCCCAGTCTGGTAGGTTGAGAATGGAGGGGATCTGCAGGCCGCACTTTAACTGTAAAAGAGTTGGCTATGGCTGGTGAGCCACAGTTTGGCCACTCGTGATATATTTAGTATACAGGTAAGTAATTGGCATCTCTTAGAATATAATAGTATAGATAGGTTAAAAAAAAAAGTTTGACACTATAGGTAGTTTAAATGTACAACATGCAGTAAATAAACTGTATAATTAATCACTCAAGTTGCTACTCTAGAAAATGGATCAAAACATGATTTAAAAAAGCTATACCCAACTTGTTCAGTATGAAAGCTCATATGGTTGGGAGATTTTTTTTTCCCATATACTTTATAGATTTGTTTTAAATGACTCAATCTTTTAAAAAAAAAAAAAAATAGAATAAGATCAGTTTTCCAGAGCTTGATGCTTTTACCTGGTGTCTTGCTAAAGTGTGACTATGATGCTGTATTTTTGATCAGATGTTTGTTCCTGGAAAAACCTTCCTGGGCACACGTAGGCTGGAAACGGGGTAAAGTTAGGGATGGAGGAAGGAGAGGGAATGCCTTATATTAGACGATAGCGATCCCTTTTGCCAATTAAGGAATGTTATTTGCAGCCTCTGAAAAGAGGTTCTGTCCAGTTGTCAGTCAAAGCAACAGTAAATATGGAGAGGATTCTTGTTAGTGGGAACTGCGAAGAGATGATTCTTAAGACTTCAGCAGTGGCAGTGAAGAGACCCTTCTAACTAAATATATAGTATGTGTAATTTATTTACATTGGAAAGTCTTTCTGGGAACAGGAGATACTACTATTTTCAGTTACCAAGGAGTAAAATTCTAAATCTTAATTTTCTCCTTTAAAAAACAACACAAAAAAAAATATAAATACTCCAAACTTGAAGTTGTTCTATTCCAGAACAATAAGCTACCTTGTGTAATTTCAGGAGAGAAATAGCCGACTTTGAACAGCAGAAAACAAAAGAATTGGCTCGGATAGAAGAAGTTAAAAAAGAAGAAATGAGAAAACTGCAAAAAGACCGTAAAGTTTTTGAAAAATATTCCACAGCAGCTAGAGCGATGCCAGATAAAAAGGAGCGTGATGAAATTCAGGTAAGAAAAATATAAAGATTGTTCTGATCTTCACAGTGAAACTTCAGCTTTTCACAGTTGTGCAATTTGGAATTCGTAGATCCTGTTAATTTGAAGGGGTTTGATAGGAAGGAAAATATATATAAATAAAACTAGACCAAGATGACTGGCATCCATCAGTATTCCCACATTGAAAATCACAGGCTTCACATAAGTATCGTTTTGCTTTAAAATACAAAGCAAAACAAAAACAGTACTAAAGAACTGTTGTCTTTCTGTCAGACTCCCATACCAAAAAAGGTGCAGAATGGCACTAACAAAGAACATGACATCAGACCAATAAACTAAATCAAGTTACAAAATATTACTGTAATAAGTATGTTGCAAACAAATTCATTCGCTGTAGTGAATTGAATGCAAAATTGAACCTGTATCAAGCATTGTTCTGTCCATAATTGTTGCATGCCAAGCACAGTTTTATCTCATAATAGATGTTGATTATAATGTGTCTGATGCATAAACATGTCTTCTCATTTCCATCATGTTTAATCCTATTGCTTAGAACAAGATAAGACTTGTTAGTCACTACTAGGGTGCATAGCACATTCGTGTTGCTAAAAATGTCTGAATAATGCAGTTTATTGTAATCTTGGTATCTTTCCCTCTAGCTTTTAGGATTTTGGATTTCTTTTTTAATATCTTACTAAAGTTAGTGATTGAATTATCCATTATTATTTGGTTAACTCAATCTAAAGTGATCAAAATAAAAGGTGACAGTTATTTAATTCAAATTACTTAATTCCTGATTTCCTGTGAGCTTGTTTGGGGAGGGAAAGAGGAATAGAAAATTTGTTCTTGTTTTTCAGACTGCCCTAAAAATCCTTTTATTTGGTATTAAGTTTGTAACTATACATGATTGTGCTTCCTGGCCCATCATGCCCAATGGACTTTTTCTATGCATATTTATATATAATATTCATTTTTTAATTTTTTGGCTTGAAATGTGAAACCAAATATAATCTACATGGCAGCATGACTCTTGTCAAACCATCTAGCTAGACATCTCTGTATAATAATGATACCTGGTTATTATGTAGCATTTTTAATCAGTAGATCTCAAAGTGCTTTACAAAGGTGATATCGTTATCCTTATTTTACAGATGGGGAAACTTAGCTTGCTTTTTCTTAATTAAAAAAAAAAGACAAGAATACAATCTTGAACACTATGAAGAAAAAGTCCTTTTCCTTCCCTAGGACCTAGGGTGAGATTCTGTGTTACACTGCGCACAGAACTTACAGCCCAGGGAGAAGGTGAGGTAAATTGTCTTTTAAGCCTCCTTTGCACCCTCCCTATCTTGGGCTGCTCTGGAGGCTGGAGAGGCCACCCATATAACTAGGCAGTCCTGGGGGAGGGACCTGTCTACAATATTGCAGGCTGCCCAGAACCTCTGTAGTGCTGTGTGCTGCAGCCCCATCCTTAGTATGCCCCTGAGGCCAGGTTTGTGAAGGACTCCTCTGAAGCACTCCAGTTCCTGTACCAGGGTAATCCCCTGTTCTGACAAGGGAAGGCTTTTATGGCTCCTTTACACTGCTCTGGACCTTTTATCTAGTGTAAAGGGGCCTGAGTAGGGATGAAGCTCGCTGCCTGATTGGGAGAGAGATCAGGTAAGTTATTAATACAAAGTAGCTCCTGATTTTAGGAAAGAAAACACGCTTCCTGCCCTTCACACACAGAAGATTTTACTAGTTTTGGGTCACTGTCTTCTGTGCTGTCACTGCTAATAAAACATTACTATTTTCTCTAGTCTATGTTTTAATACAGCAGAAAATGACTGGTTTGTATCCTCCTACAAACAATTGATAAATATTTTTCTAAGGCTTTAAAACAGCAGCTTGCAGATTTGCAGGAAGACTTAAAGCGAAGAGAAGCAAAATGGTCGTCTACTCATGGTCGCCTTAAAAACCAGATAGAAACCTTAACAAAGGAGAACACAGAGTTAAGAGAAGAGATCAAAATCATGGAAAGATTTCGTCTAGAAGTTTGGAAGAAAGCAGAAGCTGCTGAAAGCAACAGGAAGGCTGAAAGTTCTGGAATGAATTTGAAGAGAGCAGAATCTATAGTAAGTTGTTTGTTTTGAGGTATTTTAAACTGATTTTTGCAGATGCATAGTGAGTTTTGGCTCATTGATATTTTCAGTTGGTATTCAGAAGAGACCAGTTGGATGTTTCATTTAATTTAATGGGGGTGTATTGGTGTTTGTAAGACACTACACTGCTGTTGACTTCTACTGCCCCTATAAACCTGGATTTTCACTGTGTGCAAGTACCATGCTCTCCAGGATCTTGCTCTCTCAAACTGAATTATTTTGGAGTTCGATAGGGAAATCAGGTGCAATTGACTTTGGTGCCTTTGCACTCTAAAGATTATCCAGTGAAACCAGCCAGTCTTCACTGAAGGATTTCACAGTTAGACTACTAAAACTTAAACTAATGTAAGGAGGAGTATACTTATCCCTGGTTAACTGCACCAAGGTAAAATTCTGGGATTGTGCATAGTGAGGAAGTAGAGGAAAGAGGAGCTCAGTCTTTATTCCCTTCACAATATACTTTAAAAGTGTATAATTAACAGTCATTGCTATAAAAATTATGGACAAGTGGTCTGTGTTGATGAGTGCTATGAATAAACCATTCTTGAACTAAATAAAATCTTTATTATGTATTTTCAGAGTCCATCAACTAGATTTCAAAAAAAACAGTTTCTGTCTCCAGTTCCTCAAGTGGAAAAGAGTAGCAAGATGAATGGCAAAGGTTATTCACCAGTAAAAGGTATAAATATTTATTCAATAGGAGAATTGTATTAACTCTTTAAAAGAAAATTGCCAGTTTTAATGTTTGTTTGCAGCAACTGATAATTGGTAATATCTTTATTTCCCTCAGGCAATGCATGTATTAAATAGTCCAAAAATATAATGCATGTGAAAGTTTAAAAATCAGACTTAATGCTCTGATAAATAATAAATATCGTCTTGGATAAGATTGTGGAGAAAGTTGTGGACACAGCTCTCTCAGTATGTACGTGTGTCCCTGATTTCCTTCCCACTCTGGGTACAGAACTGGGTATGGCCCAGAGACTGCATTGGTCAATGATCTCCTGGCAATGGATGAAGATAAGGTATCTGTGCTAGTAGTATTAGATCGATCAACTGCCTTGGATACCGTTTTGATCACCAGGTAGTGTTCGCGTGCTTACAGACTCTAGTGGGAGAGCACAGGATTGCTCTTCAGTGCTGTGATTATTTTCTCTCTGAGAAATCACAAAAGAGGTAGTTGGAGGCAATTTCTGAAGACCTCTAAAGTGGTGGGTGTTGCAGGGTGCCATTCTATCACCACCTCCTGTTCAACATATATATGGGGCCATTAGGCGGGTTAGTAGGAAAGCATAAAGTATGTTTTCAGTATGCTGATGACACCAAAAAGTATATCTCTCATTTTCAACTTGGATGATGTGACTCAGACAGCTTCTAACTAAGATTGGGCCATGAATGACTGAGTTGGCTGCTCAGTCCAGATCAGAATGAGGTAAAAGTCGAGGTGATGGGGAAGCAGCTGGAAATAATTGGTCCCTTGGATTTGAGGGAATCCATCCACCATTAGATACTAAGATTTGCATTTTAGGAGTGATTTTTTTTTCAGATCCCAGCTGCTGTTTGACTCTCCAATTACAGCAGTAGTCCAGGTTTTTTTTTGTTTTTACATCTGCGTCTGGCTAGGAGGTTGCAATCTTTCAGATGTGAACCTTGCTGCTGTTTGCAATTATCTTAACGAAAGCATAGCTATGCACTCTATATGGGGTTACATCTTTAAAATCATTCAAGGAATGAAGCTGGTACAGAATGGTGTGGCTCACTTACTGAGTGAGGCATTTTGTTGGGAGCATCTGATGCTAGGATCTTCACTGGGTGTTTGTTGGTCTTTGGGTATAGTTTAAGTCTTGGCTTATGAAGCCTTATCTGTCTTGAGACTGGTGTACCTGAGAGATCGCCTTTCTTTTGGTCCCAGGTTGCCACAGCTACAGTCTGCAGCAGTGCCTAAACTGGACATCCCTCACTATAAAAGAGTGGGTAGCTGGAAGGACATTTCTGTTCTCCGTGAGGGTTTCGAGATGCTGGAAATTGTTCCCCTCACTTGTTCCAAACCTTCCATGAATGCTGCAAGGACACACCATTATAGGGTTATTTTGGAAAAGAACAAGGATGAGCTTATAAATCAAAAGGGGTAGAAAGGAATCTCTCTGTAGGTGTTTTGCTGGCCGAGTTCCTATTGGAATGATTATCTCAGTGCTGTTATTTCATTATATAATTAATAAATGAGTTAGGCACCTAGAGCTTTGAAAAGGTGCCTTTTTTATAATTTGAAATCTATAAATAAAATATAATATAGATAACTTAAATTGAAAAGGAGTACTTGTGGTGCCTTAGAGACTAACAAAAATTTATTTGAGCATAAGTTTTCGTGAGCTACAGCTCACTTCATCAGATGCATGCAGTGGAAAATACAGTGGGGGGATTTATATACATAGAGAACATGAAACAATGGGTGTTACCATACAGACTGTAATGAGAGTGATCACTTAAGGTGAGCTATTACCAGCAGGAGAGCAGCGGGCGGGAGGAACCTTTTGTAGTGATAATCAAGGTGGGCCATTTCCAGCAGTTGACAAGAATGTCTGAGGAACGGTGGGGGTGGGGATAAACATGGGGAAATAGTTTTACTTTGTGTAATGACCCATCCACTCCCAGTCTCTATTCAAGCCTAAGTTAATTGTATCCAGTTTGCAAATTAATTCCAATTCAGCAGTCTCTCCTTGGAGTCTGTTTTTGAAGTTTTTTTGTTGAAGAATTGCAACTTTTAGGTCTGTAATTGAGTGACCAAAGAGATTGAAGTGTTCTCCGACTGGTTTTTGAATGTTATAACTCTTGACATCTGATTTTGTGTCCATTTATTCTTTTATGTAGACTGACCTGTTTGACCAATGTACATGGCAGAGGGGCATTGCTGGCAGATGATATGGCATATATCACATTGGTGGATGTGCAGGTGAACGAGCCTCTGATAGTGTGGCTGATGTGATTAGGCCCTATGATGGTGTCCTCTGAATAGATATGTGGCACAGTTGGCAACGGGCTTTGTTGCAAGGATAGGTTCCTGGGTTAGTGGTTCTGTTGTGTGGTTGCTGGTGAGTCTTTGCTTCAGGTTGGGGGGCTGTCTGTAAGCAAGGACTGCTGGAAATGGCCCACCTTGATTATCACTACAAAAGGTTTCCCCCACTCTCCTGCTAGTATTAGCTCACCTTAAGTGATCACTTTCATTACAGCCTGTATGGTAATACCCATTGTTTCATGTTCTCTATGCATATAAATCTCCCCACTGTATTTTCCACTGAATGCATCCGAATAAGTGAGCTGTAGCTCACGAAAGCTTATGCTCAAATAAATTGGTTAGTCTCTAAGGTGCTACAAGTACTCCTTTTCTTTTTGCGAATACAGACTAATATGGCTGCTACTCTGAAACATAAATTGTAGCTCTTTGCTACTATAGCAAGCAATAATATATCTGAGGTAACACACTTAACTGGATATTAATTCTTCTTGAGTAGCTGAAGATACTGCTTTCAAGTTAACACTGCACATGAGATATGCAGATATCCAGTATAGTTTATCATTCTGATCATTATATTTGCTTATAACACCCAAACTGCTTCTTGGCTGCTGAGATGGATGTAAAATTAAGTTTTTATAATTTGAACAGGAAAGCCTTCTAGAAGACCTAAATCAGCACCTGTTAGTGATGGGAGTAACTTTGACAAGACAGTGATGACACTAGAAGATTCCTCTAGGACTTTTATGATAGTAAGTCCTGTACCAGAATGTTGTCTATTTTGACTCGATTCCAAATAATAGTTATCTGCATTACATAAATGTGAAGCCTGAAAAGTGATTTGTGGAACTACCATAAGAACACTAGACAAGATTTAGTAATGACTACAATATTAAACTACACTTTGGTAATGCAGAATACTTGTACAGAAAATTACACTTGCATCTAGTATTTGGAACCATATTTTTTTTGGTTACAGCAGGGGGAGATGTTTGGTGATGTTCAATTGTAGCTAAGCAAAGTATCTTACAAAATTTACCGAATTTTAATAAATGTTTGTAGAAAAAACTGGATGTTTATCTCTTTTCTGAAGAAAGAACAAGTGGATTTTGTAAAAATGCAGGTAGTTGAGACATAATACATCTTTATCAATTACTGTATGTAGCATTTGCTAGAAGTATATGAAACTTGAATAATAATTCTGTGCCTTGGAATCTGTTGTTACTGATGATTTAAGTTAAGCACCAGATTGGAATTTGTTATTATGAGATCCACTTTAACAATCTGGGCAAAAGCTGATTGCCAAAACCTAACAAATCTTGTGTGTGGATTTGTCATTATCCAATAAGCTATATCAGACCTTTTCTCTAGGTGCTTTGGGTTGATGATTCTCTTGGTCCCTCCTTGCTTTCATGAGCTGCCTTCTCACTTCCCGAAAAATCCCTCAAGTTTGGCTGCGTAAAAAAAGATACCAGATGTGATAGAAAAGTTAGATTACCTTTATGTTCCAGAAAAATCCCACAAAAATGGAGCTTGATTTAATGCTGTCACATTCCAGGTTGCAATCCAGACTAGTGAGGGGCTGTCTCGTCACCTGCCTTGCAACTTGGGGTGTCTCACAATGCTTTGCTTCTGTAAACTCCCAAGCTGGGCCCCTAACAAACAGCATGCAGGTCACACCCTAAGTGGCTATGTAGAGCTGCAGGCCTGCCATCTCACTCCAGCTTCCATGAGCCTTGGTTACTACTTGCAAGGTGATCCCAACACACTTCCAGTCCCAAATTTCCCCCCAAAACATGTTCTGCACTCTCCAGCTTTCTCACATTTGTTGCCCCTCTAAGGGGATCCATATCCAACAATTTGTTACTTTAAATGGAGTTACCCACACAATTCAGTTCAGAGACAACACTGGACTAGTTTTGATCAAAGAATAAAACAAGTTTATTTAATTACAAAGAGAGGTTTTATGTGAAAGGCATTAAAGTAGAAATGGTTACAAGAGAAATAGAGATCAAATGCTTCCTAGTACTAAAACATAACACTCCAGATTTGGTTCAAGGTGAAATCAAGGGAGAGATAACTTAGGGTTTTTTTGCCCCTCACTTTATAGCTCAGTCCCCCTTTGAAATACATTTTCCTTAAGGCTACCCTTAAATGAAGTTCATTCCCGCTGTGAGGCTGGAGTTTTGAGGTGAACCAGGTTTCATGCTGCTGTTTGCTAAGATGCAGATGTTTGTTCAAGCCCCCCCTTTGTCAAAGAATGGCCACTTTGTAGATTTACACCTGGCAAGAGGCTTGTCCTTTGTCTTTGAGAAACAGGTTTACCCCCTCCCCAGACTTGTCTGATAAACAAACTTCAGTCATGATTTCAATTTGTTCCTAATTTTACATGTAATATTGTATGTATTTCATCGTGATATTGACAGTGAGTTATTAGTTTTCAAATGATACCTCACAGGACATAATTTGTACAATGATTAGTGTGGAGGGTATTAATACAGGTTTGTACTCTGTCACAGTTGCTTACTAGAGAAATCTTTTCATTTCAGGACATGTCCCCTACTGAAACGTGTGTGCCATTAGAGTCCCCTTTTCTTGTGTCTACAGGTAGTGAAGAAATACAGGGAGAAGTTAACTATCCTGATGGAAAGGTAGGATCAGATTTCCTTTACGAGGCTACAGAGAATAGATCTGGGCAATTAATTCACTCTTTCAGGGGAACTCATCTTTGTCAGGGCTGCGGTGCCTCTCTTGTTCAATTTATATATGGGGCTGTTGGGTGGGTATCCCTTTCATTTGTGAGGCATTTAGAGTCTAAGATAAATGTTAAAATCTAAATACCTAAATCACTTCCATAAAAATTGTGTTGTAAACTGTTCCATATATACACATAGGATGGTTTCTTACTTGAGTCCAATTGGAAATGACCAAACCAGCAAAAAAAGGAAAACGAGGGTCTCATTTGTTTCTTGTACACACTCCCCCCCACCCCAATCAGTCTGTCTTATACTTCGTTTAAGTTCTTTGGGTCAGGGACTGTCTTTTTATTCTGTTTGACTATTAGGTTAGGTGCTGTACAATGTACATGACTGAGGCTCCCTAGTGCTATGATATTAAAAATGATATTTCCAACCTCTATTTTAAATAAATAAAGTCCTTGGGCCAGATGCCCAATTTAACAAGAATTTATACAATTAAGGGAAAAGAAACTACTTTGTTTGCTTATTGGAGAAAATTATTGGAGAACTGGTTTGACAAAATGTGAGAAACTGTTTCAGGAATGTGGATGACAAATCCATAAATGGTTATTCCTGTGTGTTGCTTTCTGGTTCCACAACAGTGTCTCTGGCTGCATTTTATTACTATTATTGTATCAAACCAGACAATGGAAAGTTATGGAAATTCAAGGTTGGATGAGAAATGCAAACAAACTTTGGCTCTCAAAGAGCTCAGTCTTAAAGTCTGGGCAAAAGTCAGACAAATATTCGTCTAATGCTGATTTGCCTGTCAATAGCTCAAACTCTGTCAAACTGCTAAAATGACCAAAGAATTTAATTTTAATTGAAATTATTGTTGGAAACGTTATACCAGTTTTATTGCTGAACATCCACCTTTATGTAATTTACCTTTTAGGTTGAAAAGGTTTTAAAAAATGGCTGTCATCTTATATTTTTCCCTAATGGAACACGGAAAGAAATGAGTTCGGATGGAAAGACCATAACTGTAACATTCTTTAATGGGGATGTGAAACAAGTTATGCCTGATCAAAGAGTGGTATGTATCCAAATTATCTTCCTGACAGTTTATATGGCCAGATTTTCTTAAAGACACTTACGATCTATTCTTCTCTACAGATTTACTATTATGCAGATGCCCAGACAACTCATACTACATACCCTGGTGGGTTAGAAGTCTTACATTTCTCAAATGGACAAATAGGTAAAAACTATGAACCTTTTATCTGTATAGTTTAATTTTCATATAAAAACTTTCTATAGTTATTTTGAAACAAAATATGTACATTGTTACAGAGAAGCATTACCCTGATGGAAGGAAAGAAATTACATTTCCTGACCAAACTATTAAGAATTTATTTATGGATGGGGGAGAGGAAAGCATTTTTCCAGATGGCACTATTGTTCGTGTGCAGAGGTAAATTTTTACTTTTAATATACCCTACATGTTCCCACACAGTAGAGGGGGGGAAAGAGTTCTTGGCACACTGAAGTTCATCCACCCTTCCTTGAGTACTCATTTTCTGTGTACAGTGCTTGTCTTCAAGTTAAGATGGATATATTGTATGAAAGGATGAAAAATGAATATTTGTATAACTGTGGTAATCCACTAGTAATAGAAAAGACTTCATTTAAAACCTTATTGAGCTTTTGAGAAGCTTACACTTGAAAAAGTTTGATACATCATATCTGATATATAGAAGAAATGTAGCAGTTTATACTAACTAATGTATTTACACAAAGTACATGTTGTTGTAATCTGCTTTTAAGAGACAGAGTCCAAGCATTCATTTATTTAATTGCATCTACTAATATATAGGCCCTGAAACAGGAAAGCACTTTAGCATGTGCTTAAATACTTTTCCTGAATCAGGGACAAATTTGTTTGGGCCTTCCAATGCTTCAAATAGGATGGTAAGCTATATTTCATACCTTGATTTAACTAAATCAAGAATAAACTTTCCAAAGATGCATGTTTCTAATGATTCTCATACTTTTACACTTCAGTGATCTCTACTTCTCCTTCCTTGCTTTAACTATTAAAACAGCCTCTCTGAACTTTTTTTTAAAAAAATTGCTTTCAGAATGCAGCTTTAATATTGTTTAAAATTAACTGCAACACTAGTGATCAGCTGAGATATTTATCAACTTTATTGTGATTTTAATGAGTTTGTGTTTTGACAACTATAAAGTTCTAGAAAAACAGTGCATGCTCTTTGAGAATCTTTACAAATTTCTACATTCAATTAAATTCCTGCCTAGGTATAACTGTTAGTATGGTGTTGGAATTTCAGTTTAAGGCTGGCCCTGTCAGTCTATGTTCAGTGCCTTTTGTGTATTTTATATTTAATTGTATACACTCATTTAATACAGAGATGGAAGCAAAACTATAGAATTTAACAATGGCCAGAGAGAGCTGCATACGCCACAGTTCAAGAGACGTGAATATCCAGATGGCACTGTCAAGACTGTGTATGCGAATGGACACCAGGAAACAAAATATGTCTGTGGGAGAGTAAGAGTTAAGGACAAGGATGGTAATGTTATAATGGACACTAAGTTATAACATATGACTTATGAAACTCTTGTAAGCACCTATCACGCTTAGCAAAAGTGTATATTTGTTAAAAAAAAAACAAACAAACCAATGTACATATTGTACATAATTTTGTTTGTCTAAAATAAATTTATTTTTAAAATAAACAATGATATTAAGGAGATGTCTCTGACTTGGTCTGTCAAAAGGGCTTACTTTGAGAAATTTCTGTCTGCTTTCATATGTGAGTTAAGCAGCTACTTCCTAAATTCCCTTTCAAAGTAGCATATATTTAATTATTTATCACTAGATGCAATAAGTCTTGCTGGTGAAAGAAACCAAGTGCTGTTGTCAACTACAGGATTTGCCTTATGCCTAAGGCAGTGGTCTCCAACCTTTATATGCACAAAATCACTTTGAATTTAAGATGTATCCAGGATCTGCCCTGCCCCACTCAGTCTGTTGCTCACTCTCCCCCACTCTTTCACTCTAACCGGGCGGAAGCAGGGGGTTGGGGTGCAGGCTCTGGGCTGGGGCCAAGGGGTTGAATGTGGAAGTGGCCTCCACACTAAGCCTGGGGCAGGGGTTTGGGCTGTAGGAGTGAGAGGTGCGAGCTCTGGGAGGGAGTTTGGGTGCAGGGGTCATGTGGTCACACTGCACCTAATCTCATAGAATCCACTGGACATTTCATGAGTTTTACTTTTTATTAATGTCATGTGTGGTTTATAGATCCAAAATCCTTCAGGGACTGTCACAAATCAGTGTAACAATCTCAACTGTGGGTTGTGCATTGGCTGAACCTGGGGCAGGGGTTTGGGGTGCAAGCTCTTAGAGGGAGTTTGGGTGCAGGAGGGGGCTCAGGGCTGGGGCAGGGCTTTGAGGTGCAAAGTGCAGGCTCCAGTTGGGAGGCGCATACCACCGGCAGCTCCCCATCAGTGGCACAGCAGGACTCAGGCAGGCTGCCTGCCTGCCATGGCCTCACGCCACACCCAGAAGTGGCTGGCATGTCTCTGGGGGAAAGGGAGAGGCAGCCTGCACCCACAACCACCGCAATTGACAGGTTGGTGAGCAGTAGCCTTAAGGGTTCAAGGAGACTTTGTATTAGACATTGAAGAGCGATGCTAAAACTAATTGCCAGCTGCTAAGATATTTGGTGCTAGAGCTGAATCCTAACTAGCCACAAACATAAGAGCTAAGCTGCATGTAATGCTGCAAGACCACCTGAAGCAGAATCTAAGCATCAGTGGTGCTTATCACTTTATTTGGGTAGTGTATAAAATGTGAATTCTATCATTTCTTGATACTTGGGACTCACCAAATGGACTTGTTGCATGGCAAGAAGAGGTTACTTAGCTTACAGTCACCTAAGTTCTTCCATAGGGACATAAGACACAACTTGGTGTTCGTGCATTCTCATTTGGGCATGCAATGTAGTGTCTGCAGGCTCATGCTTGCACAGAGCAGTTCCAGTTGCTCAGAGGGGGGCATCCAGGGAGGTACAAGCCTGCTGCCACTCAGTTCCTTAACTGTGAAGCTGAATTCCACAGTAGAGGGGAAGGATAGCAGAATTTTGAATACCCCTAAGGCAAAAATCTCAAAGACCTCATTGCTGGAAGGTAAGTAACCTCTCCTTCTTCAAGTATGTCCCTTACGGGGGCTCCACTGTAGGAGCCTCTCAAGCAGTAACTCAATGAGGGGGGGGTGCCGAAGAGGTAAGTCCAGGTCACTTTGAATATGGTGTCTCTGGAGGCAGGTAAGATGACATACTTGGCAAAGATATGGATAGAAGACTATGTAGCAGTACAATGTCCTTCAGTAGTGCTATAGCTGTGGACTGAACACTAGTGGAATGTGCTGCTACTTGGGGGAGTTGCACTGTTGCATTTTCATAGCAGGTCAAGATGCAACCTGAAATCCACTTTGACAATCTTAGTGTGGAAATTGGTTAGTCCTTCATCCTATCTGCAACTAATTTAAGTAGCCTGGAATGGTTTAAGCTCTGTCCAGCTAGAAAGCAAATGCCCTTCTGACATCCAGTGAATGAAAGCTTTCTTTCTTTCTGGAGGCATGAGGTTTTGTGCAGAAAACTGGAAGGCAAATGTCCTGGTTAGTGATTTCAAGGAGACCTTTGGGAGGAAGCAAGGATGGAGATGTAGTGTAACCTTGTCTTTGCAGAAGGTGGTGTACTGTGGGTCCACCATGAGTGCTCCCAGATCACCTTGCTGAGGGAATGGTGATTAAGATCAAAATTTTGAGGGAGAGGTGGAGGGGGGAACAGGTTGCCACTGTTTCATAGGGATGGTTTTTTTGTGTTTAAAACCAGGCTGAGGTCTGTGGGGGTGGGGGGAAGTTGTCAAACAGGAGAAAACAAGTTGCATAGGCCCTTAAGAACTCCAGTGGCTGGGGTGTGACCAAAGACACCGAAGTCCTGGCTAGGTTAGAGGAAGGGTGTCTCAAATGACCTCTATCAGAGCCTTTTTTTTTATTCTAATACATAGTCCAGGATCTTGGAAAGTGGAACCTCCAAGGCTAGAGAAGATGGGATGGAGCACCAAACTGGAAGCGCTTCCACTTCTGGAGGTGACTTGCAAATACTGGCCTTTCTCTTGGATAAGAGAACTGACTGAATTTTAACCAAAAAGGGCAATTCCATGCTCTCAGATTCAAGGAGGAAGGGTGAGGACTGATGAGGGCCTTAAGTCGTGGGTCAATATGCCTTTTGTCATAGAAAGTCTGAGGGGTGTTACCTTTTGAGAGAGAGATGAGGTTTGTGTACCACACTTGGCTCAACCAAGCAGGGTGCTCTGAGGATACCTCACAGTGCAGCTTGAGAAGGGTCTTGAGGATTTAATGGTACAGTTAGTTAACATGTAGCAAAAGGAGGCCTGAAACATATTCTTGTATCAGAGGCCCAGTCTGAGGCGTGAAGCCTCAACCAAAGTAATTCCAGGCAATGATAAGCAAAGCTGGGCTGTGAGCCAGAGGCCAGTCCCACTCACAGAGGTTGGCAAGAAAAGGTTGTTAGAGGCATGCACACCCCCCCCCCCCCAATGAGAGGAACTTGTGCTAAGACGGCAGCAAGACACTCCATAGACCTAACAAGGAACAGGCAGGTGCATCTTAAAGACAGAGTCAAAAGGACAACATGATGGATAGATTCGTTTGAACTATGATGAGTAATCTGTCCTGCAACAGTGTAAAAGTAGGCCCTGGAGTGCACATCTTTGCCCAGCCTAGGGGGCAGTGGCGTGTCCTGTCACTGTCTGAGCTGTGGCCATTGTTGGGGAGCACAAATTCATAGTATGCCCGGTAGAGTCTATAGGAAACTATTCTTGTGCTTCATTTGACAAACCTAGCTTGGGTTTCTTCATACCTTATTAGAGTCTGTGGTTTTGGGGGGTTCTCTCAGGGGCTGCTGTGTTAGCTATCTGTGCAGAGCTGGGGCAGTACACAGAGGGAACACGCACGCAGCCGACTTATCGAATAAGAGTGGAGCACCACACCGGTAGCTACCGATGACAAACACCATGACCCTGGAATCTTCTTTATGCGTATCAGGGAAACCACTAGAGAGTTGTGGCCATAAAATCCCTTGGAGTAGAACAGATGACATTTTCCATTGTTCAGACAGTCAAGAGGTCTATCGTGGGCTGGCAGATGTTGTGGAAGCTAGTTTTGTGCTCCTGTTTGTGATCTTGCCAGAAGTGCCTGCTCAGGGAATTTGCAATTATATTCTGGAGGCCTGGTAGATAGACTGCTGCTATTTCTACCCTATTGGAGATGCACCAGTTCCATAGCTTTAGTGACACTGCGCATAAGGACTGGCAGCTGAAGTAATACATTGCTGCCTTGTTGTCAGGCATTATCCTGAGTGACCTTCGTATGGCATGAAGGAAGCATTGGCAAACATATCCTACTGCTCTTAGCTTCAGTATAGTGATAGTGACTGCAGATTCCTGTGCTGACCATTGGCCCTGTGCTGGCTATTGGTAGGTGAGCTCTCCATCCCAACAGATGCATGTGCTATGCTTTTGAAGGTGCTGGATGCAAAAATGGGACTCCAACACAGACCCTCCAAGGGTCTTTCCACCATCTAAGAATCCAACACCTTCCAAGCACTCTGATGCATTTGGACAGGCTCTGTGTGTTTGGGTATATGCTGTTCTTATCCATGTCTGGAGGCATCTCCATGTAGTCACATACATGGAGGCTGATGTGACCCAGACCTGTTGACAAGACCTCACTATTTGTGGGCTGCCTGTAATCTTGAAATTAGGTTGGACTGGGTGGAGAATTTCTCCTTGGATAGGGAGGCTCTTGCTGTTGTGGAGTCCAGAGTAGCTCCTACAAAGTCTATTCCCTGTACTGCAGCTAGTATGGATTTTTTTTTTTTTTTGCAGTTGATGTGAAGGCCCAGAGATTGGAATACTGTTAATGCTCTGGATATTGACAACTGGATCTCTTGGGGCAACCAGCTTCTGAGAAGCCATCCGAACATGGGAACACTGAATTTGAGGCAAGCTATTACCACAGATTTCAGAGTAGCAGACATGTTAGTCTGTATTCGCAAAAAGAAAAGGAGTACTTGTGGCACCTCAGAGACTAACAAATACTGGGGAGGGATAGCTCAGTGGTTTGAGCATTGGCCTGCCAAACCCAGGGTTGTGAGTTCAATTCTTGAGAGGGCCATTTAGGGATTGGTCCTGCTTAGAGCAGGGGGTTGGACTAGATGATCTCCTGAAGTCCGTTCCAACCCTGATATTCTATGAAATTTATTTGAGCATTAGCTTTTGTGAGCTTATGCTCAAATAAATTTGTTAGTCTCTAAGGTGCTACAAGTACTCCTTTTCTTATTACTAAAGAGAATATCTGTGAACACCCTGGGGGACCAGGAGAGTCCAAACAGGAAAACCTTGATATTGACAGTGCTCTCCCCAGAGCACAAAACTTGGGAAATACTTGTGGGAGGGGTGGATGGCTACATGAAAGTAGGTGTCCTTAAAGTCAAGTACAACAACTCAGTCTCCTGGATCTAAGGATGAACTTACGGAAGCTAATGTCACCATTCTGAAGTGCTGTGCTAGGAGAGTTATTTTAAGTCAAGGATTGGTTTGCATCTTTCTTAGGAACAAGGAAGTAATTGGAACTGAACTCTCTTCTGATGACTCTGGTCAGGCTGG